GAGAGGCAAGGAACTGGACAGCACAGCGTAACAACATAAAAACCAGACGAAAATAAAGAGATTACATTCATGAGATTGTGTCCAAAATATACGTGGCTTTTCTATGTCAGGGATTATGGGCTCCTGGTCAGGGGTATTTCGTGATAAGCTATTTTAGACCAAGTTCCAGTAGGTGTAGCGAATCCCAAATAGTACTGTAGCCAATTAGTAGGGGCGCTTTCCAAAAGTCAGAACCGACCGGCCGGACCATGGCCGGACCAGTCATTTTGACAAAACAATAAGCTTCTTCCAAGAGTTTTTGCTGAAAAATCATCTCCTTCGTGCAAACTATTTAGGATTCAACATACCTGGCTGGATAGTTTTGATTAAAAGTGAAATTCTCATTACGACGGGAATGGTTTGGCCGGTCAGTTCTGACAAATGGAAAGCGCCCCTACTAATTGGCTACAGTACTATTTGGGATTCGCTACACCTACTGGAACTTGGTCTAAAGTTTCGTCTGGAAATTCTCATTCACACGAGGTGACGCAAGGACACGGTTGCATCATGTGCAATCACGAACAGAGTTAAAATCACGCGCATGCAGGAGACACACAGTAAACTCCAAATACAAGCTAGACACAAAGGACACAAAGGAGCAAGTAGAGACGTATAGAATTGGCAAAATCACAATCCTCTCACATGAAGGAAATAAATCAGTGCTGGATCTAGACCTTGAGATAAAGGGGGCCCCGGTCATCCAGACCCTTAGAAAAGGGGCGGCCCGGTCTCCAAAAGAATTTTTTCGGCCCTTCGGGCCTCAGTTTGGTCTAAAAATAAGGGGGCGGGCTCCCTGGGCCCCTCCCCTGGATCCGCCACTGGATTTCGTTGCAGTGACGTATGACTTGTGTGTGTTCTTTTCTCTCTTCTTTCATCTCGGTAATGAGACAAGGCTGAATCAAACTGACGACAAACCCTTCACTAGCCACCCACCCCATGAAACTGACCACACTACTGGGTCTATGCTCTTGTCTTCTCGAAAAGATGTGGGTTGTTCTACGTCCTATCAGAGTCGTATCGGCACAAGTGCTGAGCATTGGAGACGAGGTAAATCAACGGTTTTCGCCTTTATCAGAGAAGAGTGTTGTGTCGACGAAAGAACTAGTAGAAGATAAGACAAACTGGACTTTGACTACTATAGCGTTGACTGGCTGGGTACTTTTTTAAAACTGGCGATAACATTAGCGTACACGGCGAAAGGTAATCAGTAGTGCAATCGGAAGCGTAATTAGCTCAGCAATGCGATGAATGGTGCGATGTTATCGAAAACTGACTACTATAAACTAGCTTTTTTATGTATAACTATTCTGATTGAAGACAAAGAGTACAATAGGAATACAATTAGTTATACTACTACTTTCTGCAATTTGATTGGCTTAGAGCATACCTATACATGTGAAAATTACAAAACCTTAGGATGTAGTAGTATAAACAAATAATATCATGATTTGCGCGTGATATTTGGCATAAATACCACTCGTGATATTTCAAAATTGTTTCAAATTACGTATAACAATTTCGATATATCACTCGCGGTATTTATGCCAAATATCATTACAAATCATGCTGTTACCTCTGACATATACCATGATGGCTAAGCCAATCAGAGCTCTAGAATTGCATTATCCAAAGAATCAGTTTTCAATAACGTAAGATAAAAGTTTTAAACCTTTATGGATCCGATGGATGTTCAATGGATAACAAAAAGACCAGTCTTTTTATTTCCATGTTGGTACGAAGTAACATCGTGATGAATACAAAAAGTCGGAGTTTGCCCGTAGCTTGTTCTTTCAGTATAAAAAGAAAAAAAACAGCAACGCCTTTCTTTCGTGGAAATGTAACTAAATTATTAAATTGGAGTAGACAACGGTTGTAGCGAGCTATGTGCAAAAGTTCTTGCAGAGCGCGCGCACAGTATTTCTTTATAGCTGTAATTACTCATAGTAGCCTGCGAGCAGCAGATGTAGTTTCCGGTCTTGCTGTTCGCAGTGTATTACTATAAAGACCAAAGTTTCTTTGTATCAAGCTTGGTTTCCATATGATCGTCCCGATCGTCCCAGTCGGAAGATCCGGACGATCACATGGAAACCAGGCTTTAGAGAAGAAAGAAACCATGATCGTTATGCACAGGTAGCGAGTTTCAATTATGCGATTTTACCTTAATCGTTTCTACTTGTACCTATAAGGAAAACCGAGATGAAGAAAATGCTTCTAAAATAGTGCCCCGTTTAATAACCTTAAACGTCTGCTTGTTTTACTACATACGCGTTTTTCGGTGAGATCAGAAATGAAAACTTCTTTTTAAGAATTATTATAGCTGTTTTACCTTCTGTTGAGAAAGTGTTGCTAAGGATCCAACGTGTGCTGCCATGAGTAAAGTCCATGCAGCGAAATATTTTTGATATGAGCTAGCAGAACAAATCTTTTTGTTCCGGCGATAAGAGCACGTCTTGCTCATGCAAACACTATGACTAAAGTAATAATGTGACATCACAATAAGGTTTTTGACTTCGCGCGCTTCAGAAAATCGTTCCCAGTTTTCTACCGAGATCAAGCAAGAGCCCAAAAACTTGGTAAAAAGGCCTGGGAAAAGAGACGGGAAGAAAAAAGTCGATACCTCATCTTTCCAATTCTCTGTTCCTCTCCTTCCTCTGCCTCCTTTTAACGCCTGCTATGCAGCCTAACAACAACACACAGGAGCCGAGCTTAATTTTCCCGCAATTTTCACTCTTCCTCCATTAAAAACGGGCGAAGGCTGTGGAGAGACAAGGGGGAAAACCTCTCCCCGGCCCTTTTCTCTCTCCTCCCCCGGCTCTGTTTATTTTTACGCACTAGCTTTCGTGTTTGCTCTTCCCTACTAACATAGAGCAAGCTAGCTGTAACAGACTGCATTGCGTCATTTGCTAAAGTCCTCATCCATAACTGCCCATGCGCTCCAGTTTGCTTTCCTCACAGTTGGCCATTTGCAGCGTACAAAGTGCGACTTTTTGCCAACGAAGAATAAGAAAGGTGCCCCAGAGAAAAATTTTAGATTGAATACGAAGATGAATGATAATCTCTTAAGACTGCTTGCGGGGATATAAAAAGACAGCTTTTTTTACTCGCGATCAGGTATTGGTGTGGAAAGACGTTTGACTTTCTGACAAGGACATGGCTCCTAATCCAATATTTAACGCGATGATTATTTGCCGCCTGCAGAAAAATGTTCTAATTTATATGTAACACAAAACATGATTTGGACATTGCCAAATGATAACTAAATCACTTTATTGAGAATTTTTCACACCAATTCCTACTCTACAAATTCAGATGAAAATTTATTACTAACAAAACAATACATGAAATAAGGACGTTTTACACAATCACACTCCACCTTTCCCAAATCAAACCCAAGAAAAGTAATATGAAAACAAGTTTAATGGCGATCAACTAGTGCAATTCCAGGGCTAGTTACTATGACAACTCATATGTTCCGTTTGCAGTTAATATCCCAGGATGGACAGATAGAGAAAACTGAGCTGATTGAACATGCCAATCACAAGGAATTTTGTTATAAGGTTTAAAAAGATTTCGTAAAATTTGATGTTTAAACCAATTTATGACATTTTGCTTTTGGTCCTTTCAAGATCAAATGGACAGTTAGAATTAGATTTTCAACATTTGTGGATCAATAGTTATTTTGTACATCTGTACATTCTGAAACTTTTGTACACTCTCTACAATAAAACAGAAACTAAACAAAATGTTCCTTCCTCCAAAGAAAGGAGGAAGAGAACAATAAATTATTGTTCATCACGTAGATAGTAAATTACAGCGGTGATGTTTCAGATACACCTTACTTTGCACTTTAACTTTACAACTAGTTCTAATAATTACCTGGCACTAGTACTTATGTAAGCAATCCGGCGGGATAGGCACCACTCAGTGGCTAAAGTGACCGAATGTGAAATTCCGCTTTTTTCAAACGTTTGTATTCTATTATCCCATTGCAACACAATTACAAAAAATATGGAAACATAATAGAATGAAATGAACAAAATAAATATACAAATACATGAATAAATAAATGAAAATTGAGAGGAGACCGAAAGAAACCGAAGATCGGTAAACAAATTATTTGAATTCCCAGTGATCCACGTTCGTTATTAGGGAGCTTAAGCAGCAACGTTTTTGAGCGACGCAGTGATCCCGTGGTTTCGCGCACGTTCGTTATAACAGTAAAGAAGAAGATTTTTATATCATCAAGGCAATCACGTTGACGCGTCGCTCAAAAAACGTCGGCAAACGGAAAAATCACGTTAGCGGCAAGCGGCAAACGGAAAAAGTCAGTGTGTTATACAAAGTAATGCCCAGTATGAGAGGACTACGGAGCGTGTCCTGTTTACATTATATGTGAATAGCCGGTAAGTTAGGACTGACTTCATAATCCATTTTCACCACGTGACCAAGTTTTCATTTTGACTGTTGTTTACTGTTCATTTTATCTACACAGTAATGAGAAGTTTTCATGGAAACTGTTTATTTCCTAATCTAAGAAATAGCCAACTCTAATCTCGCGTTTGCCGTTTGCTGCGGTAAACGGAAATCTAAATCTTTCTTTAGTAGGGGCCTTACTTTCACTCCTTCTCTCGGTTGTTTAGTTGAACTGCTCTGCAGCTCAAGAAAACATAAAAACTGAGGAGGTGGTTAACTGTATCAACTACCTTGTCGACCCATGTAAGAGAATCCGGTTTCGAAATCAGAGAAAAATTTTGCTCGTGGAATCGGGAATCGGGGAATTTTTGCTTGTGGAATCTTGAATACAGGTCAAGGAATCCGGAATCCCACTGACGATTGGAATTCGTTATCCAAGTTCCACTGATAAAGTGAGGAATCCAGTACCTAAAATCCGGAATTCACGGCGTAGAATCCAGAATCCAAGACTGTCTTGGATTCCATTACATGGGTCGATACCTTGTAACTCAAAACTCATGTGTAAAAATAGCTGAGGAGGCAGCAAACAACATCAACAAATACATGCCAGCAGACATTCGAACTGCAGACGATCCCAGGCCACACCCGACGGTCGCAGCTGGCGAGGCCTGTTCTGTCGCACTTGTAGCAATACTACCAGTACTGATTCTCGGGGCTGAAGTTATGCGATTAGTATCAGCGGAGGCCTGGAAGCTAGCCCTGACGATTCGGTTGTAGAGTGGCTGAACGGGACGGTAATTTCCAACACTTAATGTGGTGTACGTCTTCTGGAGTTGACGCAGAAGGTTCATCTAAAAACAAAAAAACAAACAAATTAGGAGGCATTCGGACTATTTTTACACTAAATGACGTATTGATCCAATAGACGGCGGGTTTGCGGCAAAAAAAAATTTAAAACGCTGCTGTCAAGTAGTTTAAAACACATGTTTTTTTAAGTCAAATACTGTACCTGATACTGCGATATGTTGACAGCGTCCCTAAAAACAGTCCACGTGACACTCTCTTTGCAAGAAGGAGTGGTTAGAGAACCGCTGTACCGAAAGTACTTGGTCTTGTTGGCAGGTAACAGGCTGTCAAATCTGAAAGCTGGAATGCCACCCATGGATGAGTCTACAGATACAGAAAGAGATAAAAACGTACCAAAGATGTCGTTAGTCACAATATGGAGAAACGGGCACGGTTTCATGAAATTGCGCCATGAAAACTGCGAATATGCGGAAAAAACATCACTTACAACTCTCAGAAAGGTTTCGGGCATTTTCCAGAAACGAAAATGCTGTGTTATTAATGCCTCCAACCTGAAAAATCAGAGTAAAAAGCAATTCACGTCGGTCAAATTTTCGGCCCAAGAATGATTACAGATAGAACCACGAGACCGAAAGGTTCACAGGAACGTTTGGGTTTACTTAATATATTTATTATATAAACTACAGTGTGTTATAGGGATTTTGGCAACTGAGATATGTCGTACCAAAACACATGTGTTCTGATATCCTATCAAAACACGTGTCGTTATATCTATTCACATTTTAAAACAATTGATCTAAATTTATCTCTCGAGATCTCGAGACATTCTCTATTTAATCAACTTCTTTTTACCCAATTACCTGTATGAAGAGACCAAGAACAGCAAGACCATCTTCATGTTCGATTGCTTGCACAAGGTTGTCATATTTGGTGTTATAACTTACAAAGTGCAACTGTAAAAACAAGAAGGGAAACTTAAACATTTGATGCGAATATTTGAAGTTCCTTTAGAGGGAATTTTAAAAACTACTTTTCCGTAGTCTCATTCGTTTGCAGAAACTGAAGTTGTTTAGTGTTGAAAACAGTTTAACAATTTAACAATTTCCAGGTTAGTAGCAAAGGAAGATGTCTTAAGAAGGCGCAAATAAAACGCGAAGCCAGTTATCGAGCTGATAGGCTAATGAATCATAGGCTTTGTACAACAAAAGAAAAGCATATTCACTCTAGTAGGTTTGAGCCGACCGTTATCACTGGCTTTTGAGAAACGAATTTCCTTTAACAATTAAAGCTTGAAACCTTCGGAACGTCCTTTTCTTTATTTAGGGATTATAACTCTGGAATGTTTTTATGGAGCACTTATGACATAATTCTTAGAAAGATCAATGGATTTCTCTGATATATTTAAAGAAACACCTCGTTGTCGTTTGATGCAAGAATTGTCTTTGTAACATTCAGTTTCAGTTTGCTCACTCACTCACTCACTCACTCCGGCACTCACCCACATACAAACATACTCACCAACTCACTCACCCACTCACTACCCACCCACCCACTCACTCACTCACAAATCACTCACCCACCAACCCACCACTCACTCATTCACTCATCCATCCACCCAGTCATTCACTCATTCACTCACCTCAGCTGCATAATGTTCTCCGTCTACAATGTGTTCCGATCCCACAGTGTCGTTTGGTCCGTAATGAAAGTGAAACTGAACAGTGGTGTAAACATCGTTCAGACCTCCTCCGCTGACATTATACACTCTGTCAGGGAATGCCATTGCAAAGGCGTAGCCTGTGTTTGATCCAGTGAAGGTTTTGTTGAGCCTCCTGTCGTAGTTTTCCAGTGTGAACGCACCCAAACCTTTGTCATGAGTTATCTCGCTGCTTTTAATATCAATTGGTGATTGTTTCTTGCCTGTACTGCATATACCAGCCCAGTTAGCAGGGCCTAAAAGAGAAATCAAGGCATGTTTGGGATAAGCGTTTTTAAAAAGAACTTTTAATAGAATGACGTGTCGGTGAAAAGCTGGTTAGAAAAGTGGGAGAATTTAAAGAAAACTGATAAACAGTAAAAACGAAATGTTAATATTTTCTCACCAACATTAGCATTTGGAAGGTAGCTCCATCCTGAAAAATAAAAAAGACAAAAATTAGAGTGTCAGAGTTAATTGCATTTTAGTCCCGTCTTTTTGTTTCTGTGCTAATACCTTATCCATCCATCCATATTTTTCAATATTATTTATTTTAGTTCGTAGTTCGTTCCTGTGCATTTTATCAAAAACGATTAGACTGAAACTGTATTTTAGGAGTTTCGAGTTTGTAGGCAATATTAATTTTTCCAGGGAAAATGTGTGTTTAATTATCATGCTTAAGAAATTTAGAGAATAAAGTGATCGTTCTGGGCCCAGTTGTTTAAAGGTCAATTAGCGCTAACCCGGGATTAAATTTGAATCTGGGTTTGTTATTCTTCTGTTCAAAAGCATTTTCTTGGATAATTTTCTCTATTCTTTAGAGCATCAAATCATTCCAATGCAGACAAAAAGAATTTGATTTTTAAGCTTTCATATATGAATTTAAATTTCGCACTAACCCTGGCCAGTTATCTCAACCCTGCTTTGAACAACCCCGCCCATAGCTCTAAAAATTGTAGACGTCTCTTGTCAGAATTAACCTCGGATGCTTCACCCCTCTCCCACCGGCTCTTTTCAGAAGTCAAGGATCCCGGGGGGTACTCGATATATCCCTGGGTGGGGAAGTGCGGCGCGGCCCCTCATACCCTGACCCTGTTTAAGACAAATATCGCTGATTTTCCTACCCTGTTTAAGACAGAATTCCGATTTTTGATACCCTGTTTAAGACATTTATCCTGTTTAAGACAAAAATTGATAAATCGATACCCTGATTAAGACAAAAAATGATAAATTCGATACCCTGTTTAAGACAAAAATCCCGAAAAACATACCCTGGCTGGCCGCACGTCCCCATTAAGCCCTTATAAGGGATTACCCCCCCCCCCCCGGGTCAAGGATAACGCGTGGACTCTTCTTCAAATTAAACTTGGACCGTTAAATTAAAGCTTACTTACCTTGACTGGAAGAAAAGGTGAATTTAGTGAAACACAGAAACACAACCAACAGATAACGATCCATACTTCGCCGGATACCGTGAACTGAAAACAAAAGAGCAGTGTGTGAGAACACTGGGCTCGCAAACGAAATCAATCAATCAGTAAAGGTAGCTAAACTGACTGAAACACTGGCCAAGACCAGTCGAGATATTCCATATATTGGTAATGCTCATGCAACGAAGGAAACATACAACTGCAAACGCATTTTTTTTACATTAAAAATTTAAAATGTTCAAATGAGGCATTAAACTGCTGTTCCCCACGATGATGCCGTTGATCGGCGAAAGCTTAGCCTGCGAACAGCAGACGCATTTCCGGTCGTCGTGCGTCTCTGTTCGCAGGCTAGCGAAAGCTCGGATTTTTATTTATATTTTTTAAAACGGGCAGCATTTTAAGGCCTCATTTGAACATTTTAATTTTTTGTCTTCATCATGCTGCTTAAGGACAACTTGAACAGTAATTTTTAAAATTTATTGTTCGTTCGAGCCATGTATTTTAACAAAGTCTGGTATTTTTTTAAAAAATCTTGTTTATAGTATTGTAATTAGTAGCTAAAACTTTAAGAATGAAAAGCCATACGGGTAAGTCCAATAGTCTATGTTTTAAAAAACGCAAAACTTTGGATTGACAGGCTCAAGCAAAACCCAAAGTTTTCGTTTAATATGGCCAAATAAAAACAATACATTTTACTGACGATCTCCGCCAACCTCGTCACCAGCCCGCGTTGCCCCCTTCATATGTGGGAAAAGGCCCTTGAGTATGTAGAGGAAGTTCGGACGATCCCCCACTTTCTCATGGGCGTCACTCCGTACTCGACCGATATACCATGGCGTCAATGAAGAAAGTTTTGACAAAAATTTATTATTTGTGGAAAATCAAAAGCTGGAAAGAGTTCGAAATGCGTGGGTGAGATACCGTCCAGTCAAAATAGCAAATATTGAACACTTACGTAATCTGGCAGTAAACAAAGAAAGCTCAGGGACGTCAATGACAGCTAAAAAAAAATTCTGACTTCCACTTCCTTAGTAACAAAATATTTGGATGAACGATTAAGTTGACTCTCTTTCATGGTTCTATTTCGAGGTGAAAATCAGACTTGAAATATTACTAGTTTACGTTTCCTTCACAACGATTTTTAATAAACCGTAACATTCCCAGAGCAATATTTCTGGCACAATAATCTTGCAGTAACCACGTATATCCAAATCTATTATACTAACTTCTTGATTCACAACAAACACACATATCGCACATAAAAAATAGAAATTCATACTAGAAACAGGTACAATGATCGGGTCTTTGGCGTTCAAGCTTTAACTTTTTATGATCAGTTATGCTAAGAGTGAGTTATATACGACGTGCCTGAAATACGACTCCTTCGCGTCCCCCTCCTATCATTACTTTTCTCTGTTCTCATTTCTTTATAAGGATTATTATTGATAATTCAGACGATCATATTCAAACCTAAACCAGCTCTGCTATCGCTGTTTAAAAAATGCCAACACACGAAAATTGATCTGTGATACAAAACAAAAATATCGAGGCAATTATAATTTGAAGACGGAAGCTCTTTTTAAAAGGTCTAATTTTATATTGGTGAATAATTAATTATATTTGATACACGATTAGAGCACATTCTTCACGTGACTGCGTGCTTGAAGGTGGGAGTCCTAAACACTTTTTCCTCATGCATATTTTACTGGAGGGGCTAGAGTGCACGTGCATACTTATGTGCGGCCAAACGCTTACTGCATTTCTTATACTAATTTCACCACAAACCGGTGGAATAATTTGAACCTCCCTGAGCTATGCTGTTAAGATATACTCGACTTTTTTAAGTTGTCAACCCTATAGAAGAGGTTCTGGGTCTGTCGTTTCAAGGGAACATGATGAAGGAATTCTCAAGTTGTAAGCTCCTGGTCCCAGCATTGAGAGGAAACGTTTTGTACGAAATATTACAGTTACTCAGTCAGAAGTTACGCCTGATGTTTAGTTTGAAACAACTGCCACCAGACCAAGCAAATTTGCTATTACAAGATGTTGTCTACAGCTTTAACAAATCTATATCGGTGTTTTGCTAGACTAGACATCACAGAATAGGAGACTTTACTGAGAAATTCCTAGCTGAAAGAGGTTTCACAACAAAGCATTTCATTTACAGACTCCTACAAAAACTGGCGGACTTAATTATAAATATACAAAGAAACTAAGAGCTTAGCATTTCTGTTCTACATCAACAAAACTAACTCAGTGAGCTGAATATCGAAACGAATTTGTGACGGAGCAGCAAATGGAACCTAAGTGGACGAAACCACGGAATAACCCTAATCATTAGGCCAATAAAATAGTGGACGTTTTTTACCACATTAAAACCGATAAATTTGTCTTTTATCCTTTTCACGTTTCTAATTTAAACGTTTCAAAGCTGAGAAAGCCTGATTTGGTATTGCACCTGATTTAATTATGGTACGTTAGATTTCTTTTAGCCTCAAAAACGAAACATTTTTTCCTAAAATGAATTGTTTGGACAGCATAGTAAAGCCGAGACGGTTTTAGCGATAGAGATCAGTTCAACTTTAAAAAAAAAATCAAAACTGTAAACAACAATCAACACAAGCAGGTGAAACTAGAAAGAAATCAACACGGTCAATATCTGGTACACGAAAGTGTTCTTTTCTTTAAATTAGAAAAAAAAAAACCCTGATCCTTAAAAAGTGTTAAAGCAATTAATTAAAACCGAATTGAAAATTGAAAAAAACAAGAAAAAAGCAATTGAAACCGTGAATCGAAATTTCAGTTCTATAACGTAGTCAAAGCTCATAAAACGAAATTACTCGATTAAAGAAAATCATTGACGGTCTGTATATAATGATGAACAAATTAATACAATATAATCGGAGAAGACTTCAGTATCTTCTCATCAATGTACTCAGAAAACTCCAACGCAATATTTTTAACCCATCTTTGCGTGTATTGACTTTCGGAACTGACTCGCTCCAGAACATTTCATTAAAAAGTGACCGAAAAGAAACAGTTTAAAAGAGGTTGAAAACTACTGTAATTAAGCTTTCGACTTTTAGAAGAAGAGGATTAAAGGTCTTTACAAGTCAAAGCAAAATAAAGGGCACGTTAAACAAATTTAAAAAAGACATTATTTCAGGAACCTTTTGCCGAAAAGGATTTTTAAAAAAGGTTCGAAATGTAAGGAGGCTCATTAACGAAAAACCGAGGGTTCGAAGACAGCGATACTTCTAAGATACTTCACAACACCATGAAGGGCAAAAGAAGTTGTGGCTTCGTTTTGGTGTATTTAAAATATTACTAAATAGAAAAAAGTAGATCAATCGATTCACTGCACTCAGCTAAAGTAAGGCTAAAGCGTATTTTTTGCTCACCTTAATGACTACTTTTACAGGCAAAAAGCATTTCGTTTGTACCGTACTTCACAGCCCCAGAGTTTTAATTTCTACATTAAATATTGATGGTACAGTAAATGACAACAAAAGCCCAATTTTAGTTGAAGATCCATCCACTAAGTGTCCATAACATTTCCTCGATCTGAGATCTCTGTTTCCTGTCTCTTTCGACTTATACTAAGGCGGATAAGGTATCGTACGCGGTTTAACCCGCACCATTTATCATTTACCCCCTCAATCAAGTATTCAACTAAGCTATTATTTTCATCTAGAACATTAAACTTATAATTTTACCTTAAAGCAAATACAGTATGTTTATCCTCTCGGGTGTCGACAATGACTCTTCTGTGATGACTGGAAAAATTTACAAATAAAACGCTAAATCAGCAAGTATCTCAACAGGGCAAGCGTGAATGCTGCGATCACTAAATGCGAAGCTAGCTGAGTGCTTTCCTGGAGGTCGAGGAAACTAACAGGACTTTAATTTTATCTGCCTTTATATATTTTCTCACATAGAAATATTGGCTTGAAAAGTGCACAATATTTTAAGTAAGGAATATTTTATATTTTTATATTATAGTTTTCTAGAATGGTTGCCATGACAAGAGCTTTTAAAATAGTTTCCTTGTTTTGAAGGAAATACAGTTTTTTCTTAATGGTGGTAGCAGTTTCTCGAACTAGAAACAGGACTGCATTAAATCCTGCAAAATACTTGTTGGTTATGTTTCCAAACTGTTGTAATTTTCATAATAATTATAACGGAACTCTGATTGAAAAAGAAGATCAACTGATGAATTGAAATATCTGAGACAGAGCCTGCGAACTATTATTGGACAAATCTTGTTGAAACGGTTGCGTGTAAACGCCGTATTGATGAAACATTCAAAATAAGTAGCAGTTAAAATATATTTAAGATCAATTATTAAAATACTACGCCTCACTCAGGAGTGTAGGGCCTATCGGTGACGTCCATGATATAAAATTTTAGGTCGTTAACTACCCATCTGATATTGCACAAAGCAAAGGTGGGTGTTGCTGGATTGACAGGGGTGGTCGATCATCGTGTCACATAGAGGTAGAAGTTGCAGATTCGGCTCTCTGTTGTAGTGTTCAAGACTGAAAGCCAAAATTTTTACCCTTAAAGGTATCGTTTAGGGTTGGCATAAAGAGATATCTACATATATATGAAAACCAAATGCCTTGGAGTTCATCCCGTGGAGTATCTCTCCTTTAGGCGTCAAAAAAACCCTTAGCAGCAGTCACCACACCCCCAGATTGATCTGATACAAGGCATGTTTTACCATTGTTTCAAATAGGACAGGGCCTTCAGGTGTGGCAAACACACAATCAGCGAATCTGTGGATCATTACCCCTCCCTCCCGGACACAATATAAAATGGTGACTTTATTGACTTTCAACCGAAAAATACATAAGGTGATTCGTTCAAGTCAGGCTTGTAGATGTGGAAATGGCTTCAAAATCATCAGAGGGCTACTCCCCCCCCCCCCCCACCCCCCACCATAGTTTTCTTTTCTTTTTTCATTAAGAACAGCATCCAGAGCCAGATTTAGTTTGTTTCAACGAAAAACAATTAATCAGCAATTTTGGACAGTCAGATATTGCGTAGGTCGAGGTCTAACATAGGTTTACGTAACCTTTCGTTACAGATCCAGCATCTTAGTTTTCTACCGCAGCTATGAATAAGCTCGGCTGTACACATGATTAGCGCCGAGACATTTTTTGGACTTAGGGTTTGGAAGCAGCAGAATGTGCCAAGTTTAGCTTATTTAAAAATGGTGCAAAAAATAACAGGGTACTTGGTAAAAGAACTAAGGGCTTCATGACTCCTTAAACTTGTAAGCGTTCAATCTAAAGAGGAGCACAAACCCTCAAAATACACTCTGGATATTGTGTTCTCAAGTGATCGTCATATAAATGAGCTTTTAATGAAAGTCTTTGGCTTACGAGAAAGTGGAAATTGCTCCTCTTGGCCCCCCCAAGTTTAACGAATGGCTGCTCTGTTTGGAAAGTAGCATTTTAGGCTGCAACTTACAGCTCTTTGTTTTTGAAACATTCGTTAAAGGAGTTCTATTTTTGATCATCAACAAAATGTGAACGGAACGTTTTCGATTTGTGCTGAGAGTTTGAAAACTCGCCGCACCTGGAGCAAGCAAAACAAGAGCTTTAAGTGAGCCAGGCTTAGTCACCATTCTAAATTGCAGCATAATAAACTATAACTTGGTAATCATTAAAATGTTATTGTAATAATGTCACAGACTAAACAGTCTACGGTCATTTAGCTGATAATTTTATGTATTGTAGGTCTGTACGCTGGAACTGTATCTACCTGTATCAAAAGGTGTCAAAACTGATTTTCAAGAAGAACGCACCGCGATTTTATCAATCAATCTCAATCCGTCAGGAAAGGAAGGAAACAAAGGTTTTTTTAAACAACTTCGCAAGGAAAGGAGTGCATTGAGTTATGCCAGGTGGATGTTTTGTTGAAAAGTCAAAACAATCTGATATTATGATCACCGACTCAGAAAAACGCTGCTTCATAAATAGGTCTTATATGATCACATTGGAATATTATTACCTCAACATTCGCAAACGAAAAAAAACAATGAAATTTGTACTGCTTAATAACAAACAGCTCCGCTGCCAAGAAAGTTGTGGTCTTCTGAAATACTTGAAAATTTCGTTGCCTTTCTGACTGCGGAAATCATATTAATGATCGATAGAAGCTTAACTGAATTACTAAGCCCATAACATACTTAATTTATTTCGTAAGGACCTTCAACTTGAAGAAACGGTTCTTTTAAATTAATCTTCCGGAGCTTGTTCAGTTTCCTGTACTGTATGCAGGTAATGTACCCACTAATACATGCCACGTGAATTGAACCGATTCTATGTGATTATACTCCTACATACTATAAAAGGAGCCTTCTGTATCAAACAAGGCATAGCGGTCATGCAAAATCGAACCCGCATTCATTATTGCAACGGCCTCCACAGGAAAATGCTCCTGCACAACCGGTCTCTATAATATAACTGGAATATTGCATGTACCAAGCTGTATTGCATAATCTCGGGGCAAATAAACAGCAGCCAGAAAAGTTCTCACGCTCATTATATTGGTACTTGACGATTTCGCCTTTTCACTGAGCGGAAACAATTTTCAGATTGAAAAAGGTTTTGATTAAATCAGCCTCACAACATAATAAATTGTTTTTCTGAGGACATCAACTTGAGATCACTTCACCAAAAATCGGAACTGGATAACCTGACAGATGCCCATTCACGAAATTTTTGCCTGGTGTCTGATGAACAAAAAATGCTCAGCAAAACTTGTTGCTAAGAACGTTAGAACGCCGGAAAGAAGCTTTTCTTTTTACTTTTAGTATCTCTGTGTCAGTTGACTCTATACCCTCTTTTGGAAAACAGCTCTTTTCTCTTGTCATCAACAGCCAACTTACGCCGGCAAGCTGTAATACTGATAGGTTTAATGAAATTTGGCTACAACTTAAGTAGAATGGCTATCAAAGTACACCATTTAACGAGATAGCATAAAACGGGAAATTTCTAAAGGGGAAAGTGCTTCTCACTAAAAAAATCGCTCTCTCAATTATTCAGTATCATAAGTCGAGTTTTGAGTTTAATTTGTGAGTTTGCGGAAAGTTTTTGGTAAGAGATTATCTTTATGGATGTCAAAGGAGGTTGTAGAGTGGACATTTGACACTTCTTAAAAATTTAAGTTAAGTTGTGAAATGCACAGGTCACCCACGCTTATTCTGTGACCTATTCATTATCTCTGTTTCGCTTACCCAATAGTTTAGCTGATAGTTTGCTACAGTTACCGTTTTCTCTCACGCTCGTTTTTGTCAGTCATTTTATAAAAAGTGAGTTACTTCTGTCCAAATTCACCATTTACGCATTGCCCGGAATACACCTCGTTAATCCACCCCCGCCAAAATACCTAAATTGGAAACAATGGTTATGCAAAATTTTTAAGGGTAAACGAGGTCTTTGCGGCGAAACCACTTATGCACGACTAGCGTGTAAAAATGTTGGAAATCAATAACTACACTGTCAGCAGCCCATAACCCGGAGCGAGCAACTTCCATACTAGGCCCATGCCACGGCGCTTTTACGGACCGGTTTATTTTTAGACCAATTTTTGCCGCGAAAATGGAATCTCCGCCACGTCTATATGAACGCATTCGAAGTATACTAAGATATTAAAAAGGAAAACGTAACGTCAGTAAAAGGCAAAAAATATCACTCTTAGGTCTGTAGGTTTTGCTGACTGGTTCTGGGACTTGAAAGATATTCTAAATTGGCGTCAAAACCGTTCTAAAAATAAACTGGTTCGTGAAAACGTGGTGAAACGAGTACATGGAAATGTTTTGCTTCAGGTTGTAGGCTCCTCTACTGTATTAACTAAGGGGAACCGACTGGACACACAAATATTATAAAAGAGTTATCATGAAGAATTAGATTGAGAAATACACTTTAACTGAGGAGTGGCAGGCTGCTTGCGATACCAACCAAGTTTTCCAAAGAAACTTAAGTTTAAAAAAAAGAGATGGTACAGAGACATTTAACCTGACCGTGATGAAGAAAATATGGACAGCTCTTTTAGGAAAATACGACACACAACTGAAAAAAGACGAAGGGTTAAGTAATTCAGCCGCTAAGACCTGCTGTTTGAACCAGATCACAATCATTCATACAAGGCTCATACAAGGCTCATACAAGGCAGCGCTTAACTGGTACAGCTCGGGTAGCTTTTCGACCCTTTCCCGCACCAAACACGTGCGAACGATATTTTCCACCATAAAGGTTCACGAGACGTTTTTCTTTCAAAATAACCTGCAAGCATTGGCGTAAAATTAGGGGCATCCAACGTCAATTTTGGGAAAACGTCTGTTCGGAAGACGATTTGAGATCTCGAATTTTCTGAACATTTGTTGTAAAATTTCTTGCTTGCCTGCCTCTCCCAGGATTTTCGAACATCTAAAAAACAGTATAATTGCCCATTTTTAACGGATTTTTACGCTAAAAAGGTCTTCTAAAAATTTTGGGAGCCTTTTTTCTGGCTGAAATTTCAGCGAGAAGAGGTAAGTTTTGATCCCTATAATCTTCTGATCACTAGACTTTCAGCTAGGAAATCCGAACGGATGAAAAATTTTTAGGAGATAAAAATATGCCTATATCTAACCGTTTTAAGTACTAAAATACATTTAACAACGCTAATGTTTAAGTGGTTTTGAACTATATTCTCGTTGGGTGCCCCTGCAAAATCACTTAACCATAACAGTAAAGTAACGAGGTAGTTTTAATAGAAGTCATAGA